TATTCCATGAGTTCGATTAAGCAATGTCGTATAAGGTACTTTATAGATCCGCGCAACCTTCTTAACTTTTAAATGTGGGTTCGTACGAAGCGTATTTAACGCAAGAATCATATCAGACTCTGTCCAATGCTTAACCATTTTGTTTGTTAAGAAAAAACGCGCTCTGAATAAGTTTGTGGAGTGCCAAGAAAAAAAATCCATTTCGCTCGGGAATCCAACTCGCTTGTGGACTACGTTAGTCTTTTAATATAAGATAGTACTTAATTATAGCTATAAATTTATATTATTTATATATTTTTCTAACTAGTAGAAGTAGCCCTATATCGTAGTTAAGAGCCGTATATACACGCCTAATAATATACTTACTTCTGTAATACACTTACTTCCGCTGACTATAAGTAAGAGCGTAGTAGGAACGCGTACTGTGACGGTTATGGTCACGAGGGCTGGATGTCACATGCTCGCTTAGCGAGGCGCTAGCGCGCACGACCTGTATTTAGTTCCCAGCTCACTAGAGCTCTCCTTCTTTCCTCGTCTTTTGTCCTAAGAATAGAGTGTTAATTGTTCTGAGTTCTACCTGAAGCACGTCTGTCACACGTACTAACTATTAGTAGGAACGTGTACTAACAATTAAGTAATCTAGTATAATACTCTTGTCTCGATATAGATTCTTCCCTCGTTCCTCGGATCCCTAAAAGAGACTCTAGAATCCTTTGTAAGGGCTAGAACGTAAACCTTTAAGACTTACTACTTTAGGTATAGCGGATTAAGACTTACTACTTTAGGAAGGGAAAAGTGGGTACGTGGTAAGTTACCAGGAACACCAAAACTTGGAAAGTCGTGTATAGCTCTTTACGCCTGCGTAGCGCTGCTTCTACCGGTCGGAAAGACATATACTACGAGGGCAGGACAGTACTTAATTACGCGTATAAATCTGTCTTATTTTTATGTCGTTCTAACATATGGAAGCAGCGCTACGTAGGCGCAAAGAGCCGCATGCGTGCAGGTGAGGCTCACGGCTCTTAGTGCCGGCCTCCCGTGTGGCTAAGTGTGGCTTTGCGGCCTTGGCGGACCTGGCCCTCACGAAGGCTGTAAGAGTCTCCCTGGAGACTCTTATACTAAGATTGACTATTAAGCAAAATCAAATTAACTTAGCAGGAGGAAATATTCCGATTTCACCACTTTGCTCAACATAGGTAAAGGGGGTGGACAGTCAATGCTGGACACTGTCGCTGACCATAGTACGTCCGTCTCCGCCGCGCCTTTTAGCTAAACCAGCCAATCAAAGACTCGGATTTGCAAGATATAGACTTTTTTCACATATGATCTACGTGACAGCGTCCAGCATTGACTGTCCACCCCCTTTATATAGGTAAATACGATACGCTTATTCTTTTGACTCTTGCGGGGATAGGCTGAGTAGCTGTTTTGTCGTTCAAAATCTTTGGGTAAATTACCTTGGTTTCGTTATGATATTTAACGTGATCAATCATCTCAAATGTTCAAATGTTCTAAACCATTGAAATAACCTTGTGTCGTCCTAGAGAATTAGAACATTTTACAGCAATTTACTGCGCTTGTACTGTAATGCCCGCAGGGTGCGGCCGTGAGTCTGCATGGACTTCATCAGCAATGGCATCGGTCCGTCAGGTTTCCGTTAAAATCGGAAAAAGAGCGGCGACCCTAAAGACATAGTTTCTGGAACTTAATGGGAACCCTCTGTCGAAGTAAAATATATCATTTCCCGAGTGCATTATACGGTTAATTGATCGCGCATCATATCTGCTAAGTTTCTCAAAACTTTCATCCCTCGAGAGTCCAATGCTCAACTGATGCCTTCTGTCTGCCAAAGAATGAGTGACGAATCATTTTAGTCAAGCAGGGATTTCCATTTGCAAGTCAACTCAAAAAAACCGGAGTTTAACGAAGGTATCATTGTTTGATCTCGCCGCCCAGGACATCAGTTTAGACGAACCTTCGACTTCCAAACCGAGTAATCCGCAGAAGGACCCTTTCCTGCACGTTAGGAATCGTTGTAGAGATATATCAGTAAGAGTGCGAAAGCCAGACTTGGAAGATTTATAGGTAGTAGAAATAAGCAGTTTGCTGACGTCCTTCGGGACACTTTGGCACAAAGGGTACGAATACACATTCATTCATCACGACTCTTTCTATGTCCTTCTCAAGCCGCCAAATTGAATTTTGCTGTCATTCCGCTTTGGTCAATGGCCCGAGCGAATATTTCTGAACAGAATCTTTGAGATGGCAGCGCTACGGGTAAACAGATCGCCTACTATCAAAACTCGATACGGATGGTCGCAATGTAAATGCCTTGCTTTTGGCCTGGACCACACTAAAACCCCCTGGGACTGTCCTTACTGCTTCTCTTTAAAATTCTTTAGGGTACGTCAGAAGGATACGTGGATGAATAAATGTATTTGATAACCATTGGCCCAAACTGCCCCGAAGGACATTGGGAATTTGCTTGATAGTACATGTAACCATCCTTTGTGACCCTGCAGCCGACTCCCATTACGTCAGAGCTAGGAGTAAGGGTAAAAGGGGAGTGAAAGCTGATTTTCTAGAGTTTTAGTATTGAGTCTGGACCTTTCAATGACACTTGCAACATTAACTTGCTAGAAATCAAGCCTTGAGCACCCGGTTTAGACCTCAGACATCCATACCCTAACCCTCCCTGTGGCTTTTGAGAGGTAGGTACCTGAGAGGTCGTGGACTCGTAGCTCATGAGAGTTTATAAACTAGCGAATCCGAGACTCGGATCTGAGCGACACAGACTTTGCTGACGTATACCTATGATTTACTCGATGGTGTCTACCTGCAGCTCTACGGGTTCGCTTCGTAACTGATCACTGTCTTTACTTTTGCTTGTTCTACTCCGTCAATGCATCATTTCAAGGTTGCCCTCGTAGTACCAGTGGAGGTTTCCGGTAGGCTTTGTTTAAATCCCGTAGCTCCGAAATGAACTTATTTTCAGTCCAATTCGATCAGAGCTCATGGAACCTGTGTTTGATCTGTTCTGAGTACTATATTTTCTGGGATGAATATGAAGGTCCTTGACTTTAAGATCGTATTGATACTGCTATCGAAATGTCCTGATCGATCACACAGGGCATGAGCCAAGAACCTGGTGAAGAGTGTGTCCTTGTAAAAAGCTTATTTGGCAGCGGCCTTTCTTCTCTCCTCCGGGCAGCAATTTAGACTAACCGGGAGTTTAAAGTTTCACTAGTCTGGGGCAAGGTGATATCATACAAGTAGCACCTTGCTAATAAAGCCGCCCTTAAAATATAGGTGATAATTTGCTGTGCTACGTGTATAAAGTAAGCTTGAGTCCTCTATTTTCAAGGTAAACAATTTCTACCCCGATCTCCAACCGTCCTTCAGTCTCGAAGTTGAAAGCAAAACCACTTTTCGAAATGAAGTTCCCCAACAGCCTTCTTGTCTTCTCTTCCCTCGTATCCCTCGGCACAGCTCTAACAAAGCCAATCAGCTCAGCAAAATGCCCCTCAACAACGGAGACGTATAACCTGTGCGTAGCGGAATGTGGTGGTAAAACGGTAAGGAATCTTGTTTCTAGTGCTTATTCCATTTACTAACATTGTACAAAAAGGGTTCGGCATCGTGCTTGTTTGATTACTTCAAACAGACATTGGTCCTCGTCTGCGGCGCCTGCTAAGAAACGTACAAGTTGGCGGAAGGACTGGAGGGATAAGTGAAATGAACAAAAAATGCTTGATCAGGCTGTCTATCCTAGGTCAAAAACAGTCTTCAAGAGTCTCGATGTAAAGCATTTGGCCCGTACCTTACCTCGCGGTGGACTGAAAAAGTGGCGGAACCTGATTGTAAACGAAAAATCTTCGCCTAGACTTTGAGCAACATTTTACAGCAACGCGGGATCCAAAGTATCTTAGAGCCGTACTGAGTTTGGTCAATCGATTTTGCTTATATTTATATTTTTTGTGTGTATCATAGTGCTTTTATATCAAGCTACACAGATGTTTTGTGTACAGCTCTTGTCGAGGAGTGTGCACGGGTTGGCACTTTTCCTGTTACGAGTACCGCGAGGAGCTTACCTTATAATTTTGAAAACAGTCTCTAGAACATGCCTGCCTCCCTCACCCCAGTAAGCGAGCACGTGCCTGAAATATTAACTCCCGGAAGTTAATAGATCATCCAACCTTGAGGATACATAGACGTGGTCGAAATTAGCCACAATGTTACTAGTTCCTATACACATAAGTTCGAAAATTTAAATACCCCTTCTACAAGTATACCTCTCTACTTGGTGCGCGGAGGAGAGACGCACTAGCTTCTACCACTTTTATATCTAGATTTATATACGTACCTAGGAAGGGGAGACAGAGAATAGGGAGGGAGGGAATTAGAACATAGGAGGTATAGGGGGAGAGATAGAGACTTACGAGAGGATACAAAAAGTAGGAACAACAAGTACTTGTAGGCCGTCGGGAACGCAAGTATGGAATTACTGGTCGCGAACGGGGGCACAGCAGGGATTGTAGGAGGGATCTATAGAGGCGGAGAGTGCAAAATAGGAAAAGTCAGTGCGGGTGAAGGGCAGTAGTATGTAGGCATTACACTTAGTTTACTTAAATGCTAGTGACTATATGTCCTATGTACTCGGACCGATCCTTAGGGAACTGTAGGTAGAGTTCTTACCAAAAGTGGGAATACGGAGTCTATGTATCCCGGGATACATACTTTGTCCCAGGCGAAATAAATGTAACTTTCCTAGGGTCTCTAAGGTTGGCAATATGATAAACCTCCTGAAAAGGCCGCATTTGTTTCGCCTGGGATGAAGTAGAATCAGAGTGTTAGTACATGCTATATATAGATTCTTTCTCCTGCTATGTTGATACCCTAGCCGAATGTTACCTCAATTATTGACCTCAAGAATAACATACCCCGTCAACCTTCAGTAATATCAAACTTGCTTCCCCCATTCATGATTCAATTTGCGAACAATGAGAAGTTGCCTCTCGTTGGTTATCTTCGCCTTGCTCACAAGTGCGTTGGCTCAAGTCAATACTTTGAATCCTCTAGATTCTTTGTCACCATGCGCTGTACGTTACACTAACGTGTATCTATACTTTGACCACGATACTGATGCCTTTCATTTTTGGCGAAGCAGCTAAATTGCACAGAAATCAAAATTCTGGCCTCTGATTGCCAGATTTCAAACTTGACATGCCTGTGTGAGAATGCTCCGCTACAAGCTGAAATAGCACGATGTGCTTTAATAAGTTGCTCTATACTTGAAGCACTTCGTGAGTTTTCCATTCCAAGTAAAAAGATCTCTGAACTAATTCTAACTCACGTATAGAACTCAAGAACTCATCCACTGTGCTTTGCAATATCCCAATACGTAGCAGAACATATGAGTTCAAGGTTGTAGTTATCACTCTGGGAACTGCATCTGGGGTCGTCGTATTCCTCCGCATCTTGTCTAAATATCTTGCGCAACAGCCTCTCTGGTATGATGACTTCGCCATCTTATTCACACTTTTTGCGGGGATCCCAAGCTCTGTTTTGGGCAGTCACTCTCTACCAAAAAACGGAGTCGGAAAGGATATCTGGACAGTTCCTGCCCATCAGATCACTGAATTTATACGTATATTCTACATCATGGAAATCATGTACTTTTCCCATATTGCAACCATGAAGCTGCCCGTCTTATTCTTTTACTGGAAAATATTTCCTCATGGTCGAATAAAGTACCTCATTTGGGCCACCATACTGTTTGTCTTTGTCTATGGAACCACTTTTATATTTCTCGGTATCTTTCAGTGTTCACCAATCAGTTTTTTCTGGACAAATTGGGATGGAGAGCATGAGGGGAAATGTTTCAATAGCAACGCGATGACCAGGGCTAATGCCGGTATTGGTATTGCACTCGAAATTTGGATGCTTGCCCTCCCAATGCAACAGGTTTTTAAATTGAATTTACACTGGAAGAAAAAGATCGGAGTCGCTATGATGTTTAGTGTTGGTTTATTGTAAGTCTACCTGGCTCTTATCTAAAACCCTCAACTAAGTAAGAATTAGCGTAACTATTGTGTCGTGCCTTCGCCTCAAATCCCTAGTCAAATTCACTTATTCCGACAATCCGACTTGGGACAACTTCGATGTTGGCTTGTGGTCAACTATTGAGATAAATGTTGGTATATTTTGTGCATGCATGCCTTCCCTGCGGCTTCTCGTTCGTACATTCCCAAGGATTTCAGGGTCGTCGGGATCACAGAGCAAAAGAAAATCGAATCGTTATACTGGGGATGGTATCAGACCCAAAACCCCCCCTACTAGAAAAGTGGCTGTTGAAGGAGATCTAGAGAGCACAATTATTGGCAGTTCAGATTATGGGATTGAATTGGAAAGAAGCACGAGGACGCTTTCCAAACTCGATGACGAGCCTATAGACCGACTCAGATAGCAGCACCTTTGATTGTTTAATGTTTTTCAAGACGAAGTTGTGTCATTATTCCGTCCGCTCTTGGTATCATTCATGATGTGTTAATCCTTTGAACATTGACCTTGAGCCGTTTCTAGCAAGGTTTGGTGAGAGACAAGCTTCACTGAAGGCGGGGCTGAATTGGGTAGACCGTTTCGCTTATTACAGGGGCCTGCCGAATCACGTGCGATAGATCCTCAAAGCTTACTCCGTATGCTTATCGACACCGATAATGAATACCTATAGCCTTTTTTTGCCCTTCATATCTTGTACAACTGCCAAGTCATTTTGCAAGTTTTCATTGGACTACCTTACCTGACTACAGAGGGAGGGGCGTAGGAGAGCTTGGTTTTCTCGGGCGTAGTCAATATCCACTCTTGAATGGTTAGAGGAGACATTTTTTCTTCTATGTATGAGTGGACCCTAATTTAAGAAACTGCTTTCTTGATGAAACGCTTTTTAGCAAGAATCAAGGCGCGCTTGCTGTCAATATTCTAATTCGCGTAATTTTCCTACCAAGTTTCGACCCCTCGGAGCTTTTTCATTTTGGTTATATTTATCATTTCTTTTTATTCTATCCACAAATTTGCATAGCAGTGAATCTCTCCGTTGTGCATTGATCTTATGACCCTTAACGTCGGCCTGACGCTGAATACATATTTGGCCTACTTAGCTAACTTAAAGACACAAAGTCCCATCCTAGCATTGTTTAGTGATCTCAAAACTTCTGAACAGATGATTGTTTAGAGACGTGACGTTGCTACTCGCGACTTTGGACCTTTAGTTACTAAACTTGTCAAGTTTATTGAATAGTCTTCTTACAGATGTGTGTAACCTTGGCATAACTATACAGATATATCTGGAGAATAACATTCTTGAGATTGCGAGACAAACATTTGATGTTGATTTGTCCTTTAAGATTTTTAGATGTCAATGGAGCAGTTGTGATCCCAAGCCCAGAGAGTCATGGTAGCTTATCAGTGATTGGACCATTGAACCATGTGTATATCTTTAAACATTCACTGAGTTCATATTCACGTTCATCCTGCTCGCAAGGGAAGGGGTTACATATATAGGAATAGCACCTGGGGCTCTGTGCTACAACACTTTCTATTCTTATTTATATAAATAAAAAGACTAGCTTATTTTGTTACTGCTGCTAAGGTAATACAAATAGTGGTGTACGAAAAATAGGATAGTGGTGGGCGAGAAAAAATGAGCCCTATGAGCCCCTACTTACACGTCCTGCTCTACGGCAGGATAAAGTTGTTAACAGTACCTGCCCCGCTGCTAGCTCTTGAAGGTCCTTCGTCCGCACGTGATAAAAAACATCCGATATATTCTGACAACTACAGGCTTGAACTGGTTGTGTATATAGAAAGAGATCGCGTGCTCAAAGCCAACCTTACAAATATTGGAAGCTGCTGGGGCTTCCCCAGAAATGCTGAGAATAAAGAGCATGGAGAAGAATGGTAGGTGGTCTGACTTTTTATGTAACCTTACTACTTCACAGTTTCACTTATATAACTCCATTCATCTGAGGTGGCTGCACATGAGCTTTGGTGCACAAAGAAAGCTCAAAGATGCTTCACTTTCACCAACGCTCTGACGATACCCACGTTTATCTATGTACCACAGGTAAGATTACATGATCACTCAGCCATTGTCATTTCATTTTCCTTGGGCGTTACCATGAGTACACCACAGAACACCACGGCTGTCCTCTGTTGAGTTACAGAAATGACACATCACGTTCTACTACGATCGTCACTTTCATTTTTCTGTTGCCTGGAAATTTAAATGGGGGATGAATAGCAGTGCTTTCAGTAGCGAGAATTGACAGGTTTAGCCTGGGAACCTACTGGGATATGGACATCCACAGATGATTGGCATGTGATCGGCGGCTGTTATACCGTTGTGATATATAGTGGCCCAGTGGTGTCTAGCAGAATGGGAGGGAGACATTTTTCATGGTTCTTTTCTATTAGGTTCGATCTGATTCATGCCCCATTGTTCGACTTTGAAGTCTCTGCTTCAGAGAGATTGCTGCAATTTCCGAGGCTGCAAATTTGAGAGTTTCTTTATGATTGATTGGGCTATTCTTTCTCAACGTCCAGCGAATAATGCTTTCTTTCTATACATTTCCCCACGCTTCTTCATAAACCTGAAAGGATTTTCTTGATTTCAACACATTTTTATGTGAATGTGGGTCTCCTTGCTGCCACTTTCTCTTAATTGGATCGCTAATAATTCTCACTCTGATTGTGCGCACTAGTTATTGTTGTCTAGGTTATTCACCCATTGTCGCAGCTCTCAATAACATTAAACGACCTAAAAAAATTGCTTCATCTCCTTCTACTTTCAAACTTTAATTCGCAAACCTCCACCATCCGTCCGACTTCCATCTTCTTCCCTCTCAACCATCCCTCATTTTCAATCAAAACCCCCTTTTCGCACAGCATCTACTGCCTACCTCAACTACGTTGTAGCAATCTGCATAGCTCTCTAGCGAGAATGCATCTCCCGTCGGTTTTGAAGTCCGCTTTAGGCTTACTTGTTACGACAAGTCAGGCCTGGGCCTTCTTTCGCCTCCCTTGTGCTGCGCCCATCGTTATCCAACGAGCAGATCCAATTGTCAACCCAGGACAGGTGCAGTTTTCTACAACTTTTATGACTTGAACCACTAGCTAATCGTCTTTAAGGTCTCTGGGCATGTCCATACGATCGTGGGTGGAAATGGATTTGGGTTTCAGATGGACTTTGCCGCTACTCAGCGCTCTACTTGCTCTTCGTGCCTTGTCAAGGAAGACCTGTCAAACTATTGGGTTCCTGTAAGCTCTCAGAAAGTTCCGTTTTGCTTGTTGCTTTGTCACTTTCACAACTCACAACCCGCAACTCACTTCTCACTTCATAAACATGGCTGCTAAATCTTCACTCGCTCTAGATTCTCTACTTTAAAGGACCTGATGGCAAGTTCACTGAGGTTACTCAGACTGGAGGGTAAGTCATCCCCAACTCCAAACCCCTCACCCCATCCTCTTTCTCGGGTCATTGGAAGGGCCGAGAATGATTCACTTCTACCACGACTCTTTTGCCCTAATCTTTTTCTTGGATATTTTGGATAAACGCTGAAATGGCAATGCTGACGTCGAGATTTGCTACAGCTTGACCGTCTATTATTTGTAAGGGAAACATCTAACAATTGGCACTATGCAACTACTAATCTGAGTGGTAGACAACGAACCGACCCAAGAGACCAAGATTATCCACATATGGTTGCCTTCCCAAATGAGTTCCGCATGCTTGCTGGAGACCCATTTTTGCGAAGCTACAATGCTAGTTCTCTCGCGCAACAAGCAATCACCTGGGCATGTCTAGGTACTTCAACTCCAGAATCCGGTGGAATGCCGAACATCAAGTGTCCTGACGGACTTCGAGCTCAAGTAAGTCGCCTTCAAAACCTATCCAATAATTCAAAGAAGTTAAAAAAACCAGGTCTTCTTCCCCTCTTGCTGGGATGGAAAGAACGTCGATACACCAGATCACAAATCTCACGTAGCCTATCCAGATGGCGTAACTGTGGGATCCTGCCCTGCCTCACACCCGAAGAGATTGATTTCTATCTTCTACGAAATCATCTTCAATACACCAAACTTTCAATGGAGTGGTGATCATCATCCTTTCGTTCTTGCTCAAGGCGACCCAACAGGTTACGGCTTCCATGGTGATTTTGTCAACGGTTGGAAGGAAGGAGTTCTACAAAAAGCCATCGACGACTGCAATATTGAGTCGGATGTTATCGAGGAGTGTAAACACTTCTCATTCATCACTAACCAAGTAGCTCAATCTTGCCGAGTCCCTGCTTCTATTGATGAGCAAACTTCAGGGACTCTAGACAAGCTCCCAGGATGCAACCCAGTCCAGCCAGGTCCCGACCCAGCAAAACCCCAAAGTGGTTGCGGTGCTCCAACAACGATCGGAAAACCACATTTCCCATTCACCGACTTCACTGGCTCCAAGCACTTTGCATATACTGGTTGCGCTTTGGATACCCCAGGACAAGCCCGAACTCTGCAAGGTGCTTCTTTGGAACGTGGTGATATGACAATTGATTCTTGTATCGATTTCTGCGTTCAGCAAGGCTTTGATCTTGCGGGTGGTATGTCCTCTTCATTCATCCTTCAGATAAGTTGCTAACATGTCATAGTGGAATATGGAAAACAATGCTTCTGCGGTCACCCTGGGGATGTCGCCAATGATCGCAAGCCCGTTCCGGGACTACTTCGAGACTGCTCACAACCATGTTCTGGAAACCCCAGTCAGGTATGCGGTAACTTTGGACTTCTCTCGCTTTACCAGAAATGCGGCTCGTCGGGCTGCCAGAATGTTCAATTGACATTTCTTAACGGTTCTGCTCCAGGACACTAAACAGTCACTGGTCATCGAGTTCGGGACAGTGGAAGAATGTTTCAGTACTAGTCTCTCTTTTCTCTCTCTTCAGACACGGCTTATCAGGATTGGGTTGCAATTTTGCTGGTTGGGTGGTTTTCTTTCATGCCCAAGCCCCCTTTTGGCCTCGGAAAGACAATGTCCTCTTCTAGTTCAAACGTGGAGCTTTTTTTGCCGGGGAGACTTTGGGCGCTTGACGGGTGCTAAATGACGAGTGATAATAGCCTTGATTACTACCGATTTGAGAATTGTATCAATCATTTCATGGGTCGTTCGAAATGATTTTTGGGTTGTAATTCAGCTTAGCTATTAGTGCTTTGGCATTAGTTTTCAGATAGCACAATGTTACTTGATTGGTTATCAATTTTGACACCAGGTAAATAGCTCAATAGGTGCCAACAGTGTACTTTAATAGCATTTTGTGAGTTGATGAATTCAACAAGCAAAATATACTGCCTAATAGTCACAAAAAAACAAGGAATTTGGCAAGTAAATATGAACCATTGCTGGCCGAAAGCCCCTCAAACCAATGAATAACAGTTGTTGTGCGGTTACAAAACCGGCTTCCAGCGGACATGAAAAGTAGCAGAGATTCCCTTTCTTTATATTGGCGTAAGTTGATCTAGAATAATTGAACAATCTAAACAATTTACAATGATTTTGATTGACCCGTGTTGTTCGGTTAACGTTGCTTCTTCTACTTACCCCAGATAAGCATAATAGTAAACTAGTCTTACAGTAGAACGAGTTACGCTAAGAGAAAAGAAATTTCTGCTACCTTGTCTGCAGGGATACGGGTCAATCCCAAAGCCATGTATACAACTGTATTATAGGACAGAAACAAGTTATAGACTGTCGTGAGGCTGACGAGGGAAACACATTCAACGATTCGGAGGAGGATCATGTCAGCAACAGTAATTGAGTTCAGGGAATGTGCCCACTATGAAAACAGAGCTAACATTTACCGGAAAGTAAGCGGAACATATATTTGGGCAGTGGGCAGTTATCGGGTGTACATGCCCCTATTCTCGACCTTAGTTTCTTTGGAGCAGGAGTTTCTTCCAATCACAAAATTGAGTTGTCGAACAATTGAGTTGGTTCGCGGCCCCTGCGGCTGGGACTGAAAAAGAATTAATACCCCAAGGTGCTGTGGGAACCAAACACTTTGGGCAATTCTAGGTTGCGGGGTACGGAAACAAGCATTGGTATACATATTGCGGCGACCCGACTCCCGAGGAGGCAAACCGATGCCTACTCGTGGAAACTTGGAAGGGAGGAAAAGTAAAATAGATTCTCGCGGGAAAGAGAGGGGAAGAACCCGACAGAAACAGGTAGGCCATGAGTTGGGAAACGAAACGAAAGAAACCAGTTTTAAATACCGTCAAAACACCGACCCGGTCGACGTGACTGGAGTTTAAGAATCCCAAGATCGCAACCTTCACCCCATTATGTTATTGGACCTGGTAACCTCAAAGGAGGTGTCGATCAAAAGTCAAAGAAAGTGCATTTCGTATATACGAAGTATGATGTACGAAGCAGTCCCCAAGATCCAGGAGACATAAGCTTGTCATAATGCTAATCGAAGTAGTTCCTCTCGGAGATGTGATGAAACCACGTAGCGAAACTCTATTTTGTGATCAGAGAATGATCCGAGCAAACGAGAAGCTGGATCACAACACCACGGAATAATTATCTTCCAGGAGGGTTCTGTCGTGAGCTGTCAGACGCAATTTAAAGCACAATTGGATTTCGTTTCAGACTTGGAGTGATAGTTGGCGGCGCGCGGATTGGTGATCCGCGAGAAGTAAGGCGGGATCAGCGAGGGAGCTTAAGTATTGTAAGCTTACTGCCATGTACAGCCCCTTCCTAAAAGTAGCAAGAAACATTAATAATGGTTATCTACTAGTGTATGTGTACGGCAGGGTATTTAGCAAGATATTTAGTGTGTGAATTCCCCTTTTTCCTACAGGTTCTACGGTCGCGAAACATCTTACTACTTTTGAGATGGGCCTGTAGATTACTGTATGAACCTTGGGATACCCCGCATGCTTGTTTATGGTGCTGTATTACCAAGAAATTTGAAAGCAAAGATCGATCACATGTTTGCTCTAATTACTGTATCGGAATATGAGGAATTCTGACTGAATAATAGATCGATCGGTTCAAGTGACTATGAACTGGTCTAGAAGGATGGTAATGGAATGGAATATAATCACTGTGATGCTCATTTCGCCAACATGAATGTTGCGGGGGCTCAGGATTAGTGTGGTGGGCGTTTGTTTATGATGGACCAATTTCCTCCACTCACAACCATCTATTTATGCTAAGTGGACCTTCTCCCACTCTATCTGAACCCAGATTTCTCCCAGGATAACAGAGTTAGCTACTAATGGCGATCAAAGCGGATACCAAAGTGGATACACAGTATACCCCTCGCTACCAACTGGATCATTTCCAAGGGCATGTACCGATCGATATGTTGCTACCATTGTTGACGTTGTGGGCTCTCACATTAATGCTTCAGTGCTTCATCACACATGGGAACCAACAGAGCCCGAGGATTAGCCAGGGCTTTTTGTGAGTAGTTGGAGGACAGATGAGGGGCGGTCTATTGCGTCAATACGTACTGACGGAACATCTATGCTTTTTGGTTTGCTTCCAAGTGGAGGCGTATGTATATATAAGGGGCACACACCCATTCCACAGGTTCCTTCCTCTCCATCCATATTCACGCACTCACTTTCTCACTCATACATTCATTACTTCGAGTTGTTTGCAATATTTTCATCATGGTTCAAGCTTCCACCCTTCTTACCTTGGTTGCTGCATCTGTTGCATTTGTTTCGGCAGCTCCAGCAACCCATTCTGTCGGTTTCGCTAAAAGAGCGACTTGTACTTTCTCTGGATCCAATGGAGCAGCTGAAGCAAAGAAGAACAAGGGCAATTGCTCAACTATCACCCTTAAGGACGTTGCCGTCCCGGCTGGTCAAACCCTCGACCTGACCAAGCTTAAGAGCGGTACCAAGGTTCGTCAACCATTCCATCACTTGCACATTCCATGGCGGAAGACTTACAGTAATAGGTTATCTTCCAAGGAACAACAACATTCGGCTACGAGGAATGGTCCGGTCCTCTGATCTCAGTGTCTGGATCCTCCATCACAGTCTCTGGTGCTTCAGGACACTTGATTGACGGAAATGGAATTAGATGGTGGGACAATCAGGGAGGCAACGGTGGAAAGGACAAGCCCAAATTCTTCTACGCACACTCTCTCAAGAACTCCGTCATTGAGAACCTTTCATTCAAAGATACCCCGGTTCAATTGATGTCTATCAACAGCGTCGAGGCACTCCAAGTCAAGGGAATCAGCATGGATAACAAGCTTGGAGATACTAAGGGAGGACACAACACAGATGCTTTTGATGTTGGATCCTCAACCGGTGTTGCAATTTCAGGAGCAAACATCGTTAACCAAGACGATTGCATTGCGATCAACAGTGGAACTGTAAGTAGACAAGCTTGAGTTATCTTTACCCTACTAACATAATTTAGGACATCACTTTCACTGAAGGACGGTGTATAGGAGGCCACGGTCTCTCCATCGGATCAGTTGGAGGCCGAGAGGACAACACCGTCAGCAATGTCATGATCACTTCATCCACCATTAAAGACTCCGACAACGGAGTCCGAGTCAAGGCCGTCTACGGCGCCACAGGAGCAGTCAAGGGAGTTACTTACAAAGACATCACCCTCCAAAACATCGCCAAGTACGGTATTGTCATCCAACAAGATTACAAGAACGGCTCACCAACTGGAAAGCCTACAACCGGTGTTCCAATCACTGGTCTCACCCTCCAGAACGTCAAGGGTACAGTCAAGAGCAGTGGAAAAAACATTTACATTTTGTGTGGAAAGGGTTCTTGCTCTAGCTGGAATTGGTCTGGTATCTCTGTTACAGGTGGAAAGCAGGCCCGCAGTGAGTGCACGAACGTTCCTTCTGGAGTCTCTTGTTAAGTGACTCAATCATCTTCCTGTGAAGGTTGGGGTTTGTTACTGTATATATTATGAGCACTTGCTCGCTTTCTTGTTGATTACAACTGTAGATATTTCATCTCGCCCATGGGCATATACATTTGGCACTCGGAACAATAAAAAAGTCGTATATTAAATCTCTTTCGAGTCCTTCATGAAATGATACATCCCTATCAAATGTGCTTCTTTTCAATGGGGTTCTAAACAGCCATAGTAAAACTAATAGATCTAATTTCCAACACATTTCTCCCTGACCAGTGCCCCCTTCCTCCTAATCATCCCCCAGCTCGTCATTTGAAAACCAACCCCCGGTTCTCCAACGCTCCACGACTGGACGGAGTACGAAACGCTCCTTGAAAATCATGGTTTGCAGTACCGTTCCGTACCTGCCGCCCACTTCCGCCACACTCCCGCAACTCATTTGGAAATTCCCCGGCTGGCAACCTAAATAAGCATTTCCCTCAGAAATGAAACAACCCCAACTCCCGGGGCTGGAAAGCCCGAATAGGAAATAACAGCGACGACGAATGCGCACGAATGATGTCGAGGTAGACGGTTTTAGGTAGATTATAGGAGTTGTGGGGGGTATTCATGGGGTGCGTAAGGCTAAGAATAGGATGAATACATATGGAGTAGAAAACTACTGTACTAATAGCGTGATTTTAATGCCTAGATTTTGATTCTTCAGACATTTTCTTATCTCTGTTTCAATGTACTCTACTTGGAACAATCCCACACCTTTACAGTCAGAATCCTCCAAAATTCAAGGATCTCGTTAGTAGGATTGTTGAACCTCAAACCATTCGATTTTTAGATAAGAGCCAACAAACCAACACTCATTTCCGTTAAATACCTGTAATTCAATTATCCTATTCGAAGTTTATAATATCTAGATCTCAATTCCCTCTTTGTCCCCGTTGAAGCTCTTGAATACAATCTAGTTTCTTAGGGTCTCAATGGTTTTCTAGCTTGCGCCTCGTCGAAATCCAAAGGAGAGAGAATCGGAGGATGACTTTTACGCTGAGATTGCCCAGAATGGTCACAGAATACAGGATGGAATTGGGTTCCAAACCAGGATCCAACTCTGATAAAGCAACTTTCTTGGTCCTGGTATCCGTCCTATTACCACAAAATGATAAGGATGTAGATTATGAGATTTTGAGAATCGAGGTAATATCTAGCAACGAAATATCACGTAGTTTAAGATAAATAGATTAAAAATGAGTATGGACTGTTTGTTATTGTTACCTAGGACTCGGCACTCCGAGCTGGCACTCTATCCCACAACACATCATCGCATCCCCCAGCTTTCCAAAAAACAACGAACGGGAAAAACAGAAATAGGAAATGCAAATAAATACCACAGCACTTTCCAACAACATCTCTCGCTAACAACAAAAACCACCCTCTATATACAGTATCTATGCAGGAAAAACAATCTCAAAAACACCAAAGCGATCCCTCTGGGAACCCCTGCTCCCGTCCAAGTTAAGTACAAAAGAGTGGGATTCTAGGACTTAGAAGTGGGATTCTCCACTTTTTTCGCTTTATACTTCAATATCCCCAATCTAAGCGAAAAAATAGGGGTATTTGAGAAAATATTATACTTTAAGGAACCGATAACAGCCTATAACTAACTTTCAAGAGAGTTGAAGCGTAACCCGAGCTCTCCGTCAGCTATCTGTCTATATTATAGAGCCTTTCCCCCTCCCCCTATCTCTGTAAACCACTTGTAAGTACTTAGTCGTTTCTACCTGTCCCTCCCTCCCCCTCCCTCTCTCTTCCCTACCTACAAACAAGTAAACGCGTAAACAAGTAAATAGAGAACTGCCTCTTTAGTCCGATTTAAGGTTTGACGCTCACTGTTGGTAGCAGGAAATACCTGCTTTTAGGAAGGTTTTGTACCCTAGGCCGTCCCGCGCGGGAGGAGCAGGTATTTCCTGACACGGTTTCTAGAGGGGATATTATATACTTATCTAACGACATCAACAGAAAATCAAGTGCTAAAAACATATCCCAGAAATTAATAATTTAGCACGAAGCTTGAAAACGGCTGGAATGTTTTGACTAGATTCTCAGGTGGGTACTGTATCTTCAAGTTAAGTTGAGCTGATAGGGAGTGGTAAGTCACGGTCGATGAGAATATCAAGCTATTGGGTGGCAGGAAGGTAGTATCTAAGGCGAAAGAGAGATATATATATATAAAAATATCAAAATCCCTAGGTACCTATCCACCTCCAGCATCGCCCTCACAATCACAACTCGGACAATTCTCAAATCCTCATTACAGCATCCTATAATAGTCAGTGCACTTCCTGTTACGCTGTCGCTTACAGTCAGCGGAAGCAAGTGAGACGCGGAAGCAAGTAAGACGTTAGGATAGCGTGTCTTCGGGATATTAAATTACTATAGAAACTATGCTAAAAATTATATATAAATATAACTAAATCTTAATTAAAAACTACTTAAAGGGTAAAAAGTCTATATTCCGCTTAATTAAGTCTCCTAAATTAATACTATCCTAATCTAACGTATCTAAATGTAACGAATACTCAAACTGGCTAACTAAACTTGGCTGGGTGTTCGCTGGTTGGTATGCTATGATAAGAAGAAGACTATCGGGTTGTTCACTTGGAAGTGAACTCGTTACTTGTATCAAAGATGTCAAACTAATATGATAAGATTGATAACTAAGTTGAGCACGAAGCTCCTATCTAATGGTAGACGTGCCAGTCTTATATAGAACCTTCGTTCTCTGATTGATCGCTCTAGTCGCTCGCCCTGATCGCTTCAGTCGACAGGCGACTCAGGCGACTCAGGCGACTAGATCACGTGATTTTCTAACCAGAAGAAATCCCTGGATCGCTTAGCTAGTCTAATTGATCCCTTTTTGCTATAAGTCCATGGATGTGCTTAACCTGTCAGGACGCCGCCTGGTCTTCCTTTGTCACATGCATTGCTACACGTGATTCGTGACACTAGAAGTAAACTTGATAAAGTAATTAATAAGAAGAAGAACTTCCTTAAGGCTTAAATGTAACGAATACTCAAACTGGCTAACTAAACTTGGCTGGGTGTTCGCTGGTTGGTATGCTATGATAAGAAGAAGACTA